ACCAGTGGCGTATGTACAAGAGAGTTTCGCCTTCTCCGACGTGTGCAGCACGCAAGCGCCGCTGAGCCTTCAACTGGGGCGTCTGAGCACGCTCTTTGCGATCGCAATGCTTGACAATACTGTCGACGCCGCGCTGCTTTGCCGCCAAGGGCGCCGCGCCACCGACGTGACCAACTGTCTCGATGTGCTGGGTCGCGCACGTCGCGTGGCCAGAGACTTGGCGCCCGTCGCACTGCACCGGCCAACGTCTGTTGAGGCGACGTCAATGGGCTTTCTTCAGATCGTACAGCGCGATGACGAGCTGACCATCGAGTCGCTGCCGCTCTTGCATGACTCGTTTGCATTCTTTGGCTGGGTTGCACTTTACGACTGGGCCATGAACGACCGCGAAGCGCTTCTTCTCGAAGGGGACGTTCAAAGTTACCGCGTCTTATCAGCGAAAAACATCCGCGTGGCGACCCCGACGCCTGTCCCCCCGACAACGCTCGGATGGTACCTCTTCCATTTGTCGGCGATCACGTCGTATACGCTCGGTCTCGTCGGCTGTCTGTGTTGTATGCTCGCTGCGGCCCACCGGTCCTTGGAGAGTCCGTGGTTTCATTTCCATGAGGTCGTTGGCGCCGTCTGGCTCACGCGCAACCTCAAGCTCTTGCGTGCACTCACGGCGGTGGCGTGCTTGGCGTCGGCGTCCATGGGCCCGCTGCAGCTCAGCGCCAGCATTGCTCGCCTCGAGATCGCACCTCGCGCTCTCTTTACGTCGTGCGTCCTCGGTGGTGAAACGCTCTGGCTTGTCTACGTGCTGCACGACGTCGTCTTACCGTATACGCAGACGGTCGTTTCCCGCGTCGCGCCATGGACCAATATGGCAGCGTATAGCATCATTGTCGCACGAGACGTCTTGGCGCCGGTCCGTGTCTCGTCTGAGATTGCGCGGCAGTGCAGCGTCATTGACTTGGACGGTATGGTCTACTGCAACAGTGGCACTGTCCACGTGGGCAGCACGGCACGATGTGTTGAAATCGGTCTCGTGCTTGCTGTCTCGGTACTACTAACGCTACTGCTTGCTGCCCGATCGACGCATTCCGCGCCGCTGGCAGCAGCGACACTTCCAAATGCCCTCTTGCCGCTCGCGTACGTTGCCGTTGCATCCCCGGACGCGGTGGCTGCGAGCATAAACTTGAATGCGCCGACGGCTGCTATGTGCGGCATCTTCTCGTTTCGTGGGGCCGTGTTTGACATAAAGCTCTGGCGGCGGCTTCACGAGCCGACGACACTCCGAGCACACCGGCGTCGGACGTCGTTTGCGAGCTGTCGTATTGCACCGTTGTTGCTCGAGTTGCCCAAACTGTTAGTGCGACACGCCGAGTCTGTCGATCGAAGACAGCTCGTTGTTCAGCTCCTCAAATTGCTCAGCGGCCTTGCCTACGTGGTGATCTCCATAGCTAGCAACATTGCGTACGTCTCGGCGCTGAGCACGTCGATGGCCAACGACTTTAACTGGGCCACCTTCAACTCGTCGGGTCTCCACGCCTTTCTGGCCGACGGG